GATGGTCCAAGAGCTAGAGAGGGGAGTGTGTCGAGGGTGTGCCAAGAGTGGCAGTGCAGGACCCTTGCGCAGCCTTAGGGCACCGGAATTTGATTCCATTAGACTATCTATGTAGCCTATATGTATACGTAGATTATCAGTTGGCAGATCAAATGGGTTAGCGGGTCACCATATTAAACATAGTAACTTCCAGTCCCGATTACACCACAACACACTTAAAAATTGCCCTTGTAATTTCGGCCTTGCTATAAAACTATGACCAGGGCTTCACTGCTCACTGTTTGAAAATGCTCAAATAATTGTTATTGCACCGAACTGGAAAAACGGAAGCAAATTTGGAGCCCAAGCACAGTATGACAGAAAGATGGCTATTTTTGAGATATTGAATACCACTGAGAGGTAGCCTGCCTCATAGTTATATAGTGAGTCCAAAAGTACAAGGGCATTTTTTAAGTGTGTTGCGGTGTAATCAGGACCGGAAGTTACTATGTTTTATATGGTGACCCGCTAACCCATTTGATCCGCCAACTGATAATCTACGTTATAGGGACGGATTGGCCTGTGGCAGGCCAATCCACGCCACTTTTACTATTCTCCCCTAATCGACGACTCGACAGCTTCACACCACAAACATGGAGGAAGACCTTCCGATGCATGTGGGGGCCTCCAGTCTATCCAACATGACACAAACTGTGACTTGTATCGTTCTCCTCGGATATCTCTGGCTGAACGTTAAGGTGCTGGAGGATCCTGCGAACTGTGACTGGGTCGTTTCCTTGAAGCAATCATGAAGAGTCTTGAACTAACAATTGCTCCACGAGTCCGTCAAGAGACGTTCGCATAGCAATGTGGCAGACCTGTCGACGATGTTTGGTGACACGGCTCGCTCCTACCTCAACTAGTGAGATATTACATTGGGTGCTAGATGCCTTCTTCTCCTGTCTTCTCCTGAAATTCGTTATTCTCGCTACATATTGCACTGCCGACTAAGAAGGAAGCTTCTATGTACGACTATCATGGCAGCTTCACGGGGGCCATGCTGACTGTAATCCAGCATGCAGTCAACACGAGAATAGCCAACAAGTTCCACCAACCCATGTGCCAGAATCAGTGACGATAAGACTTCTATTTTGCGGTCGTCCCCCACCTATCTGGTGATATTTTTGGTTCTCAATGACTTCCGCGTGGCTCGTAACTTCGACCGCTTCGCGCCACATGCTCGAGGGAATTTATCAGCTTATCTTGCGAATTCATCTGACAGCAATTGACTCCTCTTACTCAATTCGAGCAACGACGGCTGGTCCTCGGGATGCCCAGTGAATGGCATGATGTCGCCATAACCATCGTGATTGAGCGTGATCCATTGAGGCATGTCTTCTCCGGTCTATCTCTCCCGAGTACTCGCAACATTGTTCCTTGTGGAGATTGCTGGCCTGTCGGACGACATGTTTGTAGGAGTCAACCCAAAGGCTATGGTTTCCGAAGTCATCGAACCCATCATACTTCGGCTACTTGAAGTCCTGCTCGAAGGCCACTAGCAAGTCAAGCATGGCCACCGCCGCAGATCAGGCTGCACATGCACATCAACGCGAAGTTGCCTTTGACTATGCCTCGTCAGATATCCGTAACGAATACAGAAGTGGCTTCGAGACTGCGATGCGGACTCCCCTGGAGACTGAGAAAGCGTCTGTCGAGGAAGCCGGTATTGCTGGAAGCGACGAGGAGACCGGCTTGGCAAAGGTTGCCGCTGCCACGTTCGATGTGGCCGAAGCCTCCTCTAACAGCAGCAGCGATAAAGAGGTCAAAACAGATTATCGTCAGCTGATCACTCAAGTCATTTCCACTGAAGATGATCCTTCCCTCAATCCTTGGACATTTCGCATGTGGTTTGTCGGCTTGGGGTTGTCCGTTTTCGGTGGTGTCCTGGCTGAGATTTACTACTTCAAACCGTAAGTGATCACTACCTCTTACGCAGGATGACCACGACGAGGGACTCTGTAGACAAACCGTCTTGGTATCTGTCATGTTCTTGGCCATCATTTGTGAGTCAACACATGATATTTATCTGGCACTGTACTGATTGCCCTCCAGCTTACGTTCTTGGAGAAGGCCTTGCCGTTTTCATACCCAGACGGGGAATCTTCAAATGGCTTAACCCTGGTCCATTCAACAAGAAAGAGCATGCGGCTATCGTCCGTCAAACCGATCCTTATCCCAAGTTCGTGTATTGATTCTAGTTGCAAGGTGATTATGGCCAGCGCCGCTGCGAACAGCGCCCTGGGTACTGAGATTCTCGCCGTCCAACGACTTTATTACAATCAGACACCAAACGCAGCTCTGTCAATCTTCATGCTATTCAGCTCCCAACTGCTTGGCTACGGAATGGCTGGAGTTATGCGCTCCATCCTTCTGTATCCTACTCGCATGTTGTGTCCGACTGTCCTTCCTCTTATTAGCATGTTCGAGACCTTGCATGGTGAGCGTCATGAAGTTCAGAAGAAGCTCAAACTGTTCTGGGTGGCCTTCTTCCTGTGAGTGTGTCCCGAACATGCGTAATCAAAATTGATGCGAGTTCGTAATCAATAGCATCTTTTTCTGGGAATTATTGCCAGAGGTACTGCAAATTCACGGTTGTTTTGGGCTGCCGCTAATTTCTCCTCTTCCTACAGTGGATCTTCCCCCTTATCACCGGATTTTCTATCTTCTGCCTCGCCAATCCAAATTCCATGCCATTCACTTTGGTATTTGGAGGTACTAATGGAAACGAGTGTGTTTTTTCTCCTCTCCTACCGCCGGTCTGCACTGACATAGCTGACAACAGAGGCTTGGGTCTCCTTTCTCTTTGCCTGGATTGGCAGTACATATCTGGCGGCGTCAACCCTCTGGCCATTCCGTTGCAAGCACAGATGGCTAACTTCATCGGTTACCTGCTTTGCATTGCCGTCTTCTGCGGAGTATGGTTCGGCAATATCTATAACGCCCAAAGCTTCCCTTTCGTCAGTTGTACAATAATCTTCCCCTCCACTTATTTGCTCACATCTGCATAGCTGTCACAAACGCTCTTTAATGCGGATGGGTCCCCGTACAATCAGCTGCTCATTCTGGACGATAATTTCGAGGTAGACTATACCAAACTCGAACGTATGTACCTCCTTTGTTTTCACATCGTGAGCTCACCGACACCGACTTCCCAGAGGTCGGCTTACTGTACTATGCGGGGACATACGTGGTTTCTCTTTTGGCCTGGAACACTACGCTTCTTGGCTCGCGTGATGCAGCTGTAACTCATCCCCGCAGTGTCATTCTCGGCCACCATCGTCCACCTATTGCTGTGGTAGGTCTCGATCCATAAAGCTATGGAATCAACCTCACTCTTAATCAGGAATCGTGAAGATCTTGCAGCGGCGTGGTCCTGGGCCACACCAAACAACCTCCTGCGAATGGCACGGAACTTTAACTGGAAGTTCTGGCAGGCTTCAAGTGAAATGGCTGCCCCGGCGAACCAAGAAGACCTTGATCCCCATTACAAGGAAATGCTCAAGTACAAGGACTCTCCCGACTGGTGGTATGTTCTTCCCCTCCACCGCGGTTCTGTCGTAATAACAAATTTCAGGTACGGTGTGACCTGGCTTGTGGCTATGGTTGTTGGTTTGATCGTCATTTACGAAGCCAATTCGACTTTACCCTGGTGGGGATTCTTTATATCCCTCATCCTAGCCCTTATCTGTATTCTCTTCTTTGGTGAGTCCTTACCCCTTTCAGTGCACGCTACAACTGACCTGATTCATCCTCTGCGCAGGTGCCCTGGGCGCTGTCACGGGGCTCAATGCTACGTATAGCACCTTCCTTCAAATGATCGGGGGCTACTTGTAAGCTGTGCCTTCTTTTGTATTGTATTGACTGATGGTGTATTCAGGCACCCGGGAAAGCATGTTGCAAACATGTACTTTGTGAGTGGGAAATGTCCCATTTTACGTGATCGTATTGTTGATGCATATGTGAAAGGTCCTTTGGAGTTACAACAGTGTAGCTCAAGGCCTTCTGGTTCTTCGCGATTTGAAGATCGCCCAGTGTAAGTTCCACCATGACCGGGGCATATTCCATCAATGACACTGCTGCTGAAGACGTCAAGTTGCCGCCTCGCTGCACATACACTGTCCAGATTCTCGGAACTCTTATCGGAGCTTTGCTCAATTGGGTCATGATGAATTCAATCGTTACCAATCAACGCGATATCCTTCTGTCCGTGGAAGGCACAAATATCTGGTCAGGACAACAGCCACAGTGCGTCTCAGGTTTCTGTCAGACTGCAGTCCAAGATTGACCGTGTCACAGATCGTACAACAGCCAAGCCATTGCCTGGGGTGGTCTTAGTCATCAGCTGTTCGATGTGGGCAAAGAGTACCAATGGGTAACACTGGCCTTCCTTCTCGGCATTGGTGCTCCGGTTCCTTTCTGGATCATCCACAAGTTCTTGCCGCAGCTGAAACTGGATTACTTTGTAAGTACTTCGATTCATAATTGTAATCCTCACTCAATCATCAAATCAAGTACACTCCGATCATCATGTATGTCGATGAAAGTCTTTGTTTTGGTCGCACAGTTTTGATGTGATTCACAGCTCCTACATTGGTTGGCTTTGCGTCGGTATTAACTCGTCAATTTTGAGCTACTTCGCCCTTGCCTTCTGGTCTCAGTGGTACTTGCGTAGGGTACGGATTTACCAGCGGAACGATCAGTCCAGCCTGTTCATAGTTCTTTCTATAGAAATACCCCGTTTGGTTCAGGAAGTACAACTATAGTAAGGAGAACGATATATACTTGTGTCCCATGTCTGATTGGAGCTGTAGTCCTCGCAGCCGCTCTTGATGGTGGCACCCAAGTGATGGTGTTCATTCTCTCGTTCGCGGTCCAAGGCGCTAGCGGTACGCTTGACGCAGTCGTGATGAACCTCCTTCTGACACCAATTTAGGAGATGCACACTTATTCCCTGCATGGTATGTGCCTCTTTGCCGTATTTCGCACCATAAATTTTACAGTTTACATCACAGGTGGGGCGCTAATCAAGGTGGAAACTACGACCGCTGCTTGTATACCTCCTACTAGGGAAGAGTCAACTTCACGTCAATACTCCGTTCTCCGATAGCTTGTCGACCCAGATACCCACCGTATTTAGACCGGCGCCTGTCGTTATCCTTCATGGTTGTAGACTATGGGATGAATTATGTGCTTACAACGAATGAATAGATTTACTGCGGATGACTTTGTTGAGAGCAACCATCTAGCATCGTGTCTGTTGATACTGACCTATCCCAACTAAACCAGCGTATACAGTAAGACATTGGATTCTCTTGGAGACATTCCCATCGTTCTCATCAAATATAACCTCTCTGGAGAATCTAGAATCATGAGACAAGACGGTGCATTTCACGGCCACGCATATATAGTATCGTGTCGTGGCGGGGTTTCATGAGGCAATTTGACGGCATATCCTGCATCCACCATAGTTCATACTGCGAAATGCGCTCAGGCACGGACGTTCGCCTAGCAGGTACCGATAAGCAGGGTGTTGAAAAGCACTGAAGGTGATATTCCTCAGAGATACGAGGAAATCTTGATGCATCCCATGCGAGAATCCTGCGAACAACATCGGACCCGATTACCATCGCGCGGGGCAGCTGCTCCCGGAGACAGCCGGTGAGGGACTTCTGACACTTGATTACTCGTCGTACGTTCCCTGACAATGGAAATTGTGTACATAGACTAGAGGACGAAGAGGTGATATTATTGATTGTGACAATTAATCAAGTGAACCGTATTTATTTGGTGTGGTAACTAACAGAAGACATTGACCGGGAGCAATGAGAGCGCGCGCGTCGTCCCTGCCCTGCGCGTCGACCTTGCGCCTCTCAGGCTCCTCTTGCTCGTACAGATACCCCGACTGGACTTGCGTATCATTCTTTGCAAATGCCCATCCCCGAATCCTCTACTGATGCACATATGGCTCTATCTCCAACTGAAGGCACTCTCCCATCGTTCTCGTCGACACTATCACCCTCCGATTCAACCCCTGTCGCAAACGGTTCCGCGTCGTTGCAGCCTGGCAATAATGGACATGCCCATCCGCCAGGAGCCACGCTGCAATTCGACACCGCCGTCTTCAAACATTATTTAGAACTTCTGCTAACGGCCGTGGTGGGATCTTTACCAGAGGAGCTTGAGAGCATATGGAATGATGAGGAATGGGAAGCGAAAGTCGAGCGGTTTGCCGAGGACTCCAGCTCGGGAATGGGTGCTCTGTACGTGGTCAAGATGCAAAAACCGGCAGAAGGCACGTACCAGACAGGATTCGAAGGCTCTTTTTGTGCTCAGGTGCTAACTGTATCCTGTAGATGACGCCCTTCCGCCCGCATATACCTACCATTTAACTTCGACACTCTCCTATGACCCTCCTCCTGCAGCAACCTTGGCATTGATCAAGCGCCAACCTACGCTCGACTCCTCTATTCCCCTCGCTCAACAACTGCATATGCTCAACTTATACTCCCCAGCGGAAGGATCAGCGCCCTACGAGTCGCTGCACTCGCTGGTGCATCTCGGCGTCGCACCCTGGTTCGACGCATATGTTTCGCGAAAAGGCGGTGGACGCGAGCTCAAAGGAGGTGGTGCGCTCACAGGCACGGGAAAGGAGGATCGGCAAGCCGGTGTACCACTCACGAAGCGCAAGTTCGCCGAACTCGAGCTCAGTCTGCTGCACCTCCAGCAAAACGTAGAGATTCCTGAAATCCATCTTGCCGTCAATCCTTACATTCAACGCGCTGTTGATCAGGTAGGCACGCAACACTATGCATATATCCAGGCACTTAGCAACCATTCAGGCATATGCACGAGACGAAAAGCCCACCATCGACGACCTTCCACCTGACTTGCTCGTCGATTCAACCTTCCTGAACCGTCTGCAATCGGACGTGAACTCGTGGATCAAACAGATCCAAACAGTGACACGCCTCGACCGCGAGGTGTCATCTGGAACTGCGTCCCAAGAAATCAACTTTTGGCTTGGTTTGGAACGCGAGCTGGAACACGTCGACAACCAATTGAACGACGATGGTGTGCGCATGATCATGGAGGTTTTGAGGTCAGCCAAGCGGTACCGAGCGACAGTCGGGTTTCATGCCGACACTGGTCTGAATGACCATATGGCACGAGGTGAGTATACATGTGTTGCGAACATTAGCAACTAGACTGAGTACGGAACAGTACGAAACTACAACAACCTCATGAAGGATTTCCCACTAAACGAGCTCTTATCCGCCACCGACTTGGATAAGATCAGCGATGCGTTATACCAGATTTTCTCCCATCTGAACAAGAAATTGCGATTGTCCTCGTACCCAATCCGACGCGCATTACCTTTGGTCGAGGCTATCTCGCGAGATTTCACGGCTGCGCTCTTGAATGTCCTTGCTTCTCATAGGCTCATGTACCTGCCTTATGACACCTTTGCACATATGATGACGCAGACTGGGGAGGTATTCAAGATGTGGGACGAGCAAGTGAGCGGTTTTTCAGATTCTTACAGGAGCTTAGCTGATCGCACGGTCAGGTCAAGGAGTTTACGAATGTGGCCCGCGAAGTGACCAGAAGGCGGAACGAGCGGTTCATCCCCATCAAGATCCAAGCAGAGCACCTCAAATTACAAGAACGGATTGGCTTTCTGCGTGGTTTCAGAGAGAGGCATGAGCAATTGAGAGTGATGACGGCACCTGGGAGGCGTGGTCCGGGAGGTGTCGAGGGTGTGATGGATGCGGAGATGGAAGAAGAAGTACGCGCAGCGTACGATGGAGTGAGGAATGTGGATGTGCTGGATGTTACTCCAGGTCCGTGATAGTCTGCTACCCTCCTATTCACTTCACCCCTGCTAACTTTCATTGCAGAAGGAACTGAAATCTGGGTTCAAGCGGAGACGACATACAATGAACGCATTGCAAGAGTCGAGAATCAGATCATCTCCCGTATGCGTGATCGGCTAGGGATGGCTCGTAACGCTAGCGAGATGTTCCGTGCCTTCTCCAAGTTCAACGCGCTGTTTGTTCGTCCAAAGGTATGCTTATATAGATAGCTCATTCTGAGTACTACTAACCCTCTTGTAGATACGCAGTGCGATCCAAGAATATCAAACGCAGCTCATTGAGTCTGTCAAAGATGACATCCAACATCTTCATGCCAAAGTATGCTCTCTGCACTGAAGAATAACTGTATCACACTCATCGTCTCGCAGATGAGAGGACAATATCGCAAGTCTGAAGCATTCCATATGGCCCAAATGCGCGATCTGCCTGAGATTAGCAGCACCATCATCTGGGCGAGACAGATAGAGCGCCAGCTGCGAATGTACATGAAACGAGTAGAGGATGTGCTCGGAAAAGAGTGGCATCACTATGCCGAGGGTCAGCGCCTTCAACAAGAGAGCGAAAGCTTCCGAAAGAAGTTGGACGTCAGGAAGGTTTACGAAGCTTGGCTGCACGAAGTCAATCGGCGGGATATGTCCATCCGCGGAAAGCTATTCGATATCGTCAGGTCGCGAGGCACTGGACTTGGCGGTGGACAACAGTACACCCTTCACGTTAACTACGACTCGCAGACCATCTCTCTCTTTAAGGAAGTTCGTAACCTTCTATGGCTCAATGTGCAAATACCGCATGCGATCAACAATGTTGCTAAAGAGGCGAAGCGTGTTTATCCGCATGCCATCAGTCTTATGGAGACGGTGCGAACTTATGGCCAGACGGTTGAGCTTGTCGAGCGAGAAGAGAACGAACCAGTTGGACCTCTGGTGGCTGAATATCGCATTCAAGCTCAAGATATGATCGCAAGAGGTAATGTCCCCCACCTTTCTTTTCCGCCGGTTATTTACAGGAGTAGGCATCAACTACAAGTGGGAGTATTACGTGAATACGTACGACGCTGCCGCATTCGGAACTGAAGGCACGGAAAGCAAACATCTAGCGTACATCCGTAACTTCGCTACTGGTGTCAACTTGCTCCAAGTGAGTCCAATGTCGAGTCTAGGATTACATTGTTCAGACAATCTTTTAGGACAAGACCAATAATGCGATAGAGCTCTATCGTAATATTAACAAGGAGGTGGAAGAGCTCTCGACATGTGCTTATTCAACGGAAACATTCTCTGTGCATCTTGCGAACATCCAAGCTATCATCGACAAACTCAATCTTGAAGGATACGCCAACTTGGAACACTGGGTCACTCAGTTAGACACTCGCATTGAAGAGAGCTTGTTAAGAAGACTGGAGCGAATAGTCGAAACATGGTGTGCGGAGTTTGATACCTCAGCGGCTGGAAAAGAGGACGATGCGAGGGCAAGGGATGGCAAGCGGAGAGGAGACAAGCGAAAGGATAATGACAAGGTGAGAAAGGATGCTATCCATGCAGAATGGAGTGCTCAATGAGTGACAGGACGGTCATCTTCGCGTCAAGGCAATTGTTCATGAGATTCGCATACAAAATCAGGTGATCTTCCTCGATCCACCGATTGAGTATGCGAGGGAGAGCTGGCTCCGTCAGCTACATGAGTGGCTTGGTACGTACAACCCGCATTACGTACCTTCAGTCGCTTACAACTTGTGCAGGTGTCATTTGTGGCCTTCGTAGAATACATACATCAAGTTATGAGATTAGCCTGCAGACAATAGGCTCCCAAACGGCCGATTTGACTTACACGCCATTGGTGCGGCATCATGCCCCCCATATTCTTTCGAAGTAGCGCTAACACATTAGGATAGTTACTGCGATTGGACACCAAAACACTCGAACGACCATTTACTCTCGTCGAGGCAAAGGTGCAAGAGATCAAGGACTATGTCGCCAAATGGCTTCAATTCCAGTCACTCTGGGATGTTGAGCCAGAAGCAGTATTTGCACGTCTTGGTGATTCCTTGGCTAGTTGGCAGCAACTTCTCATCGAGATCAAGCGCACGAGGGCAACATTTGACAACTCCGACACATCACATTCATTTGGTATTTGTACCATCGACTATGAGCAGGTGCAGTCAAGAGTTAATGCCAAATACGACTCGTGGCAGAAGGACATCCTCAATAGGTTCGGTGTGAAACTGGGCAATGCGATGAAGGAGATGCATGCCAGCATAACAAAAGCGAGACACGATTTGGAGAACCATTCCATTGAAGGACTGATGGCAGGCGCCGGCAGTAGGCGCTTCTGACGATCTTTTGTGCTTTTCTTATTTTAAGGTGGAGGAGCATGGGCCTATATGACATACCATCGTATAATATGCATACCAGTAACGACCTATTTCTTCCTTGGATGTAATATGCACGCAACGATGACACCAATACATTCGTTACCATTTCATCTTCATTGAAGACAGGTCAAGGACCAACGAGCTTTGCGCTTATTGGAACGTACCTAGAACACCTGTCACATAATACAGTTGGTCTACTACAGTTGGCCAGTCTTCTTGGACATGTTCTCTTGGAAAACATCATCAAGAAATCCGTTCGAGTACGAAAGACACTGGTCATAGGCCTTCTGGAAACCATGCTTTTCTCTGTGTGTGAATGCCGACAGTGGACCGAGACAGCCCGACGCAACGCACCATTCCTCCATAGTACGGGTCATCAATGACTCTACCATCTCCATACTCTCCAAAGAGCTGAACTACAAGATTCCGATATCATCATCAACCGACACGAAAGACATTGAAGAATTGCGCACCTATGGATGATGCGCCCTTCGGCTTCATCCGTGTCAGGTTGGAGAGATTCTGACGGTCAGCAGCTAGGATGTAGTGAAATTCGAAGAAGTCGTCCTTGTTGACGGCGCGAGCCAGGTGGTTGATCGGTATCTTGTTCTATCACGAAGAGACAAGTCAGTTTTAGAGCACAAATGGCCAGACCGTAAAAAGCGTACATACCTCTTTGCATATCTGCACTGTCCTACAAATGGTTAAGGCGGTTAGCAAGACGCATCGCAACGAAACTCCAGCAGCCCAAAGCAACTACAAGATTCAACTCAAACCAAGCTATGTAAGAAAGAATGGGTCCATGAATTGGACGGAATGTCCTTGCATGTTTTGGTGCTGTGGTGGACAGTACAGTGTGCGCAGGCGGTGATCGAAGAGTTGACGATGCGACGGTAGCAAACCCATCATGCGAATGTCGAGGATAATTCTCGGAGCGATCGGAATGCGCCTGGTTCCAAAACAACGGGCGGACCAGGTTATTGAGGGATCGAGTGAACGTCGCCGACGCTGGGCTCGGAAAAATGTAGGAATATTGTGGCTTGAGATCTGCGAGTGTTCTCGGATGGCAAGAAACCACCTTGATGCAAGGGTCGAGCCGACGCCATCGGTGCTCGCCAGCACAGGTTGGTGGTTCCCCTCTGATAGCCGATGAGATGTTGACGCCACATCCCAATCAGGTGATTGAATCGAGGAGGCTTTCAAGGAATCTGGTGGGCCGTGTTACTCATCTTCAGCCTTGAAGAATAGGAAAGCTGACGGTTCGACGCTCTATCGTCAGCATCTGGCGGTTAGGCACGGAACCAAGGTTCTGAAGGACTCTTACTCACCAAGGAACGACAGTTCCATGCTTCTGTTGTTAACGCTGCCAGTCTCTTCGCAGCCCCAGGGTCGCGGCTATAGGGCGACTGTCACAGGTCGTGGCCGGAAAGAGGAAGCAGGCACATAGCCGCCAATGCCGCCGTACCCGCAGGACCGACGATCGGCGCGGTAACGCCAGCAACCCCGCGGCGCGCTCCTAGCCCGGTGGGCGAGCGGATGAAAGGAACAGCCACAGAAAGCTACCGCAAATAGTGCAGCTTCCAACTTGCTCGCTGTACTGTGTAAGGGTAGGAAGGCGGGTGGGAAGGAGGTAGGGACGATGGATAGGTTTCGGGAAGACAGCAAGGCGGGAAGGAGTTGGAGTGGAGCAAGATATGGGAGTTTCACCGAGGCAGTCAGAGCCACCGGAGATTTGAGACGGAGACACGTTCGGGAGCAGTGGAGGCGGAGTGATAACGGAGATCATGTATTGGTGGCGGAGGAGACCGGTGGTAGGTAGCAGGTAGTCGACAGCCAGAGCTTCGGGGAGATCTCGGGATCGAGAGGCCTTTGCAGGATGACCATGCTCCGATGAGTCGGTTCAGATCAAAGTGGAGAAAATGGAACAGAACCGTGGGAGAAAGGAAACAATGACGTTGTTGAGGCACTTGCCCAGATTCAGAAGGAAAGAAGGAAGCCAAACATGTCGTAAATCAAGAAAACGCACCGAACGTCTGGTTCCTCACCAACATGGTACGCTGCTGTGCCTGCGCTGTCCACATGAATGCTCTCTGCCCTTCCGCGCTGACTAGCGGCGTGCTTAAGCACGGCCTCCCCAAGCGGGCTGGACGCGACTAGCCGTCGGTCACCTGACTCATAATGTTCGCGCAAACAGAGGACTGACCTGCGACAAATGTTTCCCAAGCAGACGACGAGAACTTTCACTTTCGTGTCTCTCGATATGGCAGCTTGGTCTACATCGCCCTCCAACCCGGCGGTGAAATTCGTATCCGCTGCGTTCATCCTAAGCTTTTCCGTGATCGTTCCACCGTGAGTCAAAGAGTCTGCAGAATTCAATCGTCGTCCGAGCTTGTTCCCAGGCGAGTCCTCCGTTTCAACCTTAATGAATACAAGCGATTCGCAAGCCAGAAGAGCTATTAAGCCGGAGATTCTCCGGTAGTCTTCCAACCAGGCGAGTCAACGAACTCGAAGCAGGGGATCCAACCAACGATCTTCGACCAAGACTTTCAGGGTCTGTAGCGGAAACAATCCGAGAACAACTTGAACACGTGGCTCCGTCAGAGCTTCTCCTTGTCCCTGCGTTCTGATGAGGGAAAACCTATGGTCCGTGGTTTTCCCTATTGGCAGACAAAGGCAGACAAGCCGCTTGCACATCGGACTTATGAACCAATTGGCTGTGCATCTATCTCTTCACTGATGGATCGGCATATCGGGTTCAGGGCTCGGGCTACATGCCTTTTGTCTGCACTTCCCTGGTCCTCGCTCTGAAGAAAACTGCACGGAAAGCTCGAGTTGGCTATTGATCTGACGTGATGATGGGGCGATGATAGCCTCGCAGCTCTGACAGAGGAGCTCACAATCCCCATGGGGATCCCGCTACACGGCATCCTTTGTCACATCTTGTGGTCACTCGCACGAGACCTGGCCCAAATCCAAAAACAGTTGGCGCCGCAGTCCGTTTCTCTGTTCTCTCATTTCGGCTCGGCTCGGCTCCCTTTTCTCCGCGGTTTCCCAGAGGCTTGAGGTCGTTTTGCCAGCGCAGCACAACGGCCGACGACACAGGTTGGCCACCCACCCCTCCCGGGGCTCCTCGAAAGAACGCTGTACGGCATGCGGGTGCCCATCCGGAGCCGCTTGACGAGCTTGCTATATTCGCACATATTCTGTTTTCGCAATTTGCTGATACGCACGCGGGGCAGCTTCGCGAATTCGTCGACCATCAGGTGAACGAACCTATCACCCCGTTGTCCATACACAAAGGGCCTCCCCGGCATTGGTCGGCCAGGAAGAGTGAAAATTCATAATCACACTGAATTTTCTACCGATTTTGCAGGTGTCCCAAGGTGTTTCGTTCTTTCGACGCTGCGCGGAACCAGCGGGCCGCCCGATCTCACCGTCTCCCTGAAAGGAGTGTACGTCACCTGCCACCGGGGGCGAGTAAATGCCCCATCGCAGCCACTCATTGATCCGGGTATTAATCGTTCTATATTCCCCCAAACCAACAGTTGCACTCCGGCTTATTCCGCAAGAGGCTCGGCCTCATGCAGTCCCTGAATGACGGCCCCGTTTTCTCAGGAGCTGAGACACAACAATACAAAAGAGCGACAAAGGATTTCGAATACGGCGGGAATAGGGTTTGCGCGGCGAGTCGCCGGGAAAAACTGCGGCTCGGAGGCAATGGCGAGCGCGGGGAATGGGCAGGATCTCAATCGGCTCACTCTGCGTAACGATCTCTCCGGCGTGACCATGCGTGCCAGGTCTGACAAACCGTGCACCACGCTAAACCACCGAATCTTCGCCGCCCCTCACCCAATTACGTACATTGTGCTCCTTTCCTCCCGCCCAAGACTTCGCAAGTTCCATCTCGCTCGGAGCTGTATTAGAGTCTTGGCGCGGTTCTGGCGTGTGGTGCGGTCAGATTGCTCGATGTGGGCTGAGCGCATCGGCCGGAGCATTGCTTGGAATAGAATTATGTCCTGCCAAGGGAATTGCAGCGTAGTTCGCTGCTGGTGCATTAATATATTGCTTCAGGTTATGGACAGGTTTGGGTGTTGCAGACGTCGAGCCTTGGTGGTTAGACGAGGAATTTTCCGATTGCCCGTGGGGTCCATTAACACCCCAGATGAGAGAAGACGGCCCCAGGAATGCTAATAGTCCGGAATTTTTCCGCTTGATCTCTTGTCCGGACGTATCGGGCTGGAAGCAACCCGCAGTGCACGTCAAAGGCGGCTCTCACGCAGCGCGGAAGGCGGGCGCTTCCAGTCTTACCGTGACATTTGTGGGCCATTTGCTTCGATTTTTTTGGCAACAGACACTAATTGGGTAAACACAAGAAGGAACAGAACAAGCGGGTATGCTTCCCTGTGCCTAGCACTCTCCGTTCAGCATCGGCACGGACCCCAGAATGGCGGTTAGTCCGCATACCCCCGGCTGCAACTGACATGCCCAACATACCCCATGTCGCAAGACATATAAGCCCATCGTCTTCGCCCTGGATCACAGCACAACCCCCACGGGATCCCCGCATTTCTTTGCCTCTTCGGCTACCGTACTTCACCACCTTCGACAAGATTCTCGGTATCCTTTGGACGCGCAAACACTATAACAGGCAGTAATTGCCAGTCTTCGCACACCACACACCGAACGCAAAGATGGCTCCAGGCGCCGTCAGTAACAAAGAGCCCACTGCGCTCGCTATCGCTGAGTTGCTTGACCCCCGACCATGGTATAAGAATGGTCGTTTACTTGCACTCAATGCCTGGATCTTCCTGTTGCTCATCACCTCGTACACCAACGGCTACGATGGCTCCATGATGAGTGCGTCTCCATCCCAATTTACGGTGATCGCGTGCTGATGTTGTCCTAGACGGTCTCCAGATCCTCGACCAATGGAAAGGCGCTATGGGCAACCCAGCGGGTGGCAAGCTCGGTCTGTTGAACGCGATCCAGAATATCGGTGCTCTGTGTGCGACCCCCATCGCCCCTTATGTCACCGATGGCATTGGACGCAAGCTCGCCATTATCTGGGGCGCGTCGCTCATGATCATCGGCACTGCCGTGCAATCTGCGGCTCAGAGCGTGGGCATGTTCACCGGTGCCCGTTTCCTGATCGGCTTCGGGCTCACTTTCGCCGCCAACGCCGCCCCCCTGCTGGTTTCTGAGCTCGCATACCCACCCCATCGTGCCCCGCTTGTATCGACATACAACTCCCTCTGGTATTCCGGCTCGATCGTTGCTGCATGGACGACTTTCGGCACTTTCCGCATCAGCACCGAGTGGGCATGGAGGATCCCCTCCATCCTGCAGGGTCTACCTTCCGTCCTTCAGGTCTGCCTCATTTGGTTCTGCCCCGAGTCACCCCGTTGGCTCGTCTCCCGCGGCAAGCATGAGAAAGCACTCAACATCCTCGCATACTACCACGGACGTGGAAATGAGCAGGACCCCCTTGTTCAGTTCGAGTACAACGAGATCAAGGAGGCCATCGCACTTGACAAGGAGATTGCCAAGAACGTCGGGTGGCTCACGCTCTTCTCCACCCCGGGCAACCGCCGTCGTATGCGGATCATCATCGCTATCGCCTTCTTCTCCCAATGGTCTGGCAACGGCCTGGTATCCTACTACCTCAACCTCGTCTTCTCCGCCATCGGCATTACCTCTCAGACCGACCAGACGCTCATCAACGGTATCCTCCAGATCTTCAACCTCATCGTGGCCCTCATCGCCTCCTTCCTCTGTGATCGTGCTGGTCGTCGTGTCCTCTTCTTGACTTCCAACGTGGGAATGCTCCTTTTCTACGTGATGCAAACGATCTGCTTCGCACAGAACTCCATCACGGGCTCGCAAGCAGCAGGGCACGGTGTTATCGCCTTCATTTTCCTATTTTATCTCGCTTACGATATCGCCTATACCCCGCTTATCGTCTCCTACACCGTGGAGATCCTGCCATACGCGCTGCGTGCCAAGGGCTTCACCATCTTCAACTTCACTATCTCTCTTGCCCTTATCTTCAACCAGTATGCTAACCCCATTGCCATGGACGCCATTGGCTGGAAGTACTACGTCGTCTACGACTGTGTTCTCGCATTCGAGATCGTCTTCATGTTCTTCTACTGCGTCGAGACGAAGAACCGTACCCTCGAGGAGACCGCAGCTCTGTTCGACGGCGAGGACAAGGTCGATACCATCGCTGCCCGTGCTGGTACCCAGGCTGGAGTGGACGCTGCTCTTGGCAGGCACCCCGCTGATAACAAGCAGGACGAGGAGTACGACGAGAAGCACGAGCACGAGCACGTGTAAACTTTTCCTCGCTTCCTCTGTTCTTCCATTCACCCTCTAGGACGAAGGTAATGACCCGGAATGATGTCGATGTCTTTTTCCTTGTATTCCTACAAACGTAACACATCTCTCTACTTGGGCAGGGAGGACGAGCTCCCTGACTTTCGATTTTCTTGCATATGGATGGCTTCTTACGTAGAAAATGTTCTATCTAAAATCTACATCTACAGATGCGCGAGCATTTGAACGGCTAGATAAATAAGCCAACCGGAACGTGACCAATTTGGGCGGACATCATCGAGTTAAGCAGTGTGGAGAAACAGGACGATTCATTAACCTGTCGCTGTGGAGTATTCGCGTTCGTACATCTGGTCTTTCCAGTATTCCCTCCTGACCGCGCGTCCACCCTGCTAAATACTGCAACTCGGAATAGATACAAATCATTATTCACGTCGAGCATGTTACATTGTATCATTGATTCTCTACATCGGTAGTCCAGTTCCAGCTTGAAATATTTGTCTTGCCCTAGTTTGACTCTGCACTATCTTTCGAATATTGCATTTCGCTCAGAACTTTCATCGCATATTCTAGAAACGCTCTGCGTGCCCGTACATCTCGCTCGTCAGTTTCGTCTATCTTAGTTCCTGTATCTATCGCAATGAGCGGTGGTCAGTTGGGAACATTTGAAGTGAACAAGCACAATCGAAACAGGCACGCACCAAGGTAGGCCTTCTTGAGCTCCCGGACGGCTGTTTGCATGGCTCCACCGATGCCCTGAAGTGCCTGACTGTAATAACCTGACAGGCCGTTGACGAGAATATGACCGCTCGTGGTGAGAATGGTGCTGTCGTCAGTAGTTAAGGCATGGACGATGAGCTCCTGGGGATGATGTTGAAAACCTGATACTTCTGTTTTCCACTCGGCTTACCTTCGATGCAGCTACGAATCCTCTGCCTTTTCCTTCCATCACCTTTTCATATGTTGGTGTCAACTCTTGTTGAATGTACTGAGCAAGATCTTTCCTTGCATTCCTATTTATCAAATGAGCATTTAACCCAGGAGCGGCCACGTAGACGTACCGCCGTGCTGCACCCATCTCATCTCCGCAATGATATGCTGCCTCTTTTATCCTCTGTCGAAATGCCCTTTTCTCTGTTCTCCCAATACTGCTGAGAAGCTTCCGCAAGTTCTCGTTTCCGAGGTACTCCAACTTATCTGCAAACAGACCTTGTCAGGGTGGTGGCTGATTGATCTGAGTACGAGACAATACCGAGTTCTCCAATAATCCAGGCTGCTTCGTCAAAGAGGGACTGAGAGCTAATCAATATACAGAACGTCAACCATGCAAGCGATTTCCTTACATCCGTGATATCAATTAAGAATTGACGAATGGTAAGAAACGCTTGGTTCCAAGGCAGCACCATCATTTCGATAAAAGACTGGCAATGGCCTGATTGATATCAATGCCAACGTACACCCCTCTGCGATCCGGTCGGCATGTGGCTCTCACTACTAGAGCCTTGGTTATGGGCTCGTCATATCGGTCTTTGAAAATTGCGTCTGGATTGTGCCTTAAGTGTGCTGCTAGCTGCATGGACTAAGTAAAAGGCTGTTCAAAAAAGGGTAGATACATTGATCGCACCTTCTGGGCTGCTTCAAGCATAATGGGCACCATTCCGTTGACCCAGTCAAAGCTCTTACTGCATAGTTGGGCCAGCCTGTCATCCAAACGCTACATTTAGGCGTCAGGAAACAATGACGTAGAGGGGTGTCAATAGCCACATACATACTGTACCCTGTCCTGTTCGCCGCCGAAGAAAGCCGATAGCGCGTTCGACAGGTCAACGTTTGCCTGGCCTTCAGATGAGAAAAAGTTAAGGATGCGTTCTGCGGTCAACACCAAGTCCCGCTCCAGGCGGGCGGCATGCAGCTTCAGATTTGTCTCTCCCTCTGACATTAGATAGGCACGAAGTTGAGGAATCTGGGTCTGCGATACGGTCACCAAGAATGCCTTGATTCTTTCACCTAGTGGGAACGTACTTCGTCTACATTTCCATGACAACCATCTGACCGTCTTTTCTTGAGTTCTTGATAGCATTCTGCTGCCACCGAAAAGATACGAATAGAGGAAGTGTCCATCTGTGACCCTAGGTTAACTTGACAGGTTGACATAACTCTAGCCATAGCACCTTCGGGAGCCACTTCTCGAGAGTCGCCCTGGACACATGAGTAGTTGATCACCAGAAAGCAGGCCAGATAGACACTCACGACATTCTCTTCTTTGCATATCCATTTCTCGCAAGCTGAGCATACACGCACAAATCAATGACTACGGAAAGCTGGAGATGTTAAAACAAACCATGACAGTATTTCGGATCTTGAATCTAGCAGCCTTGATGCTCGTTTCCAAGCTTTGGATATGATTGTTAGCCTGTTATCATGATCCAGTCAGGACGGTTGGACTTGATAAGATCGGAAGATGGAAGATTCACATCTCGAAGTGTCTCGTCATCGTCGAGCATAGGCCAATCATCGCAATCTGCCTTGAAAAAAGCAAATCGGTCAACATCTTCACCTGCGATCTTTTCATATGAATATGGACCCACCATCCTCCCTGAAGTAGGATTGTCGGAGGCGTCCTCATGCCTTGCTCGCTTCCTTGGCCTCTCTTCAGTTTCGCTGTCATCTTCTTCCAGAGCCGTTTTCAAAGCACCCCATTCTTCGAGCTCTTCTTCCCATCTCTTCATCTCCTGGTAGTCTTATCAGAACATGCCCCAAATGTGCTACAAATCAGTTACTTGAAGAGTACTATCAACTTCATGATGAGAATCTTCTGTCATAAACTCTTCTTGGTGGGAATCATCTCCAATACCGTGCTGTACTAGAAGTGAGTGAATTGACATCGCAGCGCATCTGTGGGAGCTCACATCACACTGTGTGCATATGAATACAAGTTGAGCTGGCCTTCCCATTAAGCATTCCTTTTGACACAACCTATAAATCAAGAATGAGAATTAATACTTGTAAACGAACATGTGAACTGATGCCTACCTTGCCAAAGAGCGTGCAATCTGGGTCATTCGTCAGCAAATAATTGGAAAAACATGCTTCAGCATACTTTGTTTTCCTCGCAACGCTCAATGGGGGCAACTAAGAAGGTTTTTCACTATTGTGAGGTCGTTCGGTTATATGCTTACCAATACATATAATCGCCGCTTGCATCAGAGCACGTTCAGCCCCTGCTGAACGAAGATAATCAGTGTCGCCGAGGCCGGGAGAGTCTAAGAAATTTAGGCCATTTTGTATCAGATCACTTGTAACCCAGCGGTATTCCCTGTATGACAACATAAATTCAAAGCATGGGAGACACGTTGTATGCACAGTACATTTTAATGGGGAGTTGCAGGGCCTAGAAACTGGTCAACAGAGTGCCCTGTGGACTATGTAAAATCCACGTACCATCTGACCCACATCGGGGCTCGGACCAGGGGTACCCAGAAGATTCCCGGATCTTACCTCCTTCAAGACGAGACAAATGTAAAAAAATGCATGACAAGATGTGTCGCACTTACTCCTGATTTTTGAGAGTCACCCTCATTGATAACGATTGTGTTGCCGAGTTGACCGAAGAACGGAGAGCCCGCGATCAAGCTTTCCAAAGTCCGACGATTCTGGATGACGTTTCGATCTACTTTTCTTTGGGGCAGGATTAATGCGGAGTAAAGTCGTATTGTCAGAGTTACAGACCGGCCAAAAATCTGGACAACATATATCAACGCTTGTGGCTGCGTATAGCCCTACACTTACTGTTGATAATGCATCCATAGTAGCAGCCAGCTCATCTTCATCTTGATTACTGTGTCATAAGCACCAGAGATTAGTTTCAGAATAAACTAACTGAGCCTGTGTGACATACTGATCGGTCGCGTCATCCAACAGACTTCGTATTGCCTTCGGGAATAAGGAGTTTGGAACCGGTCTCTAGAATAGTGAAACGCAACTCACTCGTGTCAATTCTTCAGCGGTAAAGAGCTCAAAGGCTCTTTTAGATGTATTGGCTTATGCGAAGGCTATATTTGTGGGATGATGAGTGCCTACACCCTGTTTCTGATGTCAGAGTTGTAAGAAAATGGAATATGCCTTGAACACTCTCCAGTGAGCCCACTTTGTTGACGGAAGCGCCAAGCAGAACATTTTGTAGCTTGCTTTTTCCTGCGGCCATCGGACCGACAAAAGCCACGTTCACCGATGGTGGTTGATTGCAGGCTTGGATGACTGTTTGAAGGAAAGATGTCCATATTGTTTGTGAGTCAGCGAGCGTATGAGGCATAAGGTCCAGAAGGTTTTGGGCCGCCGTTCGTAGGGTTACATAGCGAGTCACAGAGGGAGATATCCCTTCAGCACCCGTCCCGGGTGATGCTGCGGATCTGGTCGATCCCCTCAGGCCATGTCGCCCTTTTCTACGCTCGAGCACAGCCCGCATAACACGACCCAGATCGCCAGAACGGCCTGGATCTGGAACATCAAGACCGGTCGTTGTTCCTTCCATTGCGAGGATACAAGTGGAGTGGGTGTTGGTAGATGCTGTGAGTAGATCTCTATGGGCAGGTGGTGAGAAGTGGAAGAGATGTCCCGCATCAAACAGCCGCATGAAGGCCACTTTTATACCGAGCCGTCAGCCGTCAAAATTGAGCGGAAGTGCGGGGGCAAAACAGTGATGCATTTGTCAATTTGTGGGATATGGAGGGCGGAATGACCGTCGCGTAGGCGCAACACTGGCAGATTTTTTCTTGATAACCAAACGTACGCTTTCCGCAGTGAATATACGAGACACAATTGAGTATAGACACTGGTGTTAAGCACAGATAGCGGCCAATGGACCATTGGAAATGCGTGAAGAAAGACTTTGGGCGGCGAAAGCACGCGCTTTCGGTCCCTTCCTGATTGCCTCCGTTTTCCTTCCAAAACATCCGGTCGTCTCTGGTTCAAACTCCCAAATGCGCATACACCTTTCATCGCGATCGTTGTATTTCCAATGTAGAATGATATCTTGTACCGATATAATCATCTATATCATCGCTTTAAGACCGTCCGTCTGGTGAGACACCCGGGATGCAACAAGACATACACGAACTCGTTTGTATTGTGTTCATCCCAAATGTAATGGCTACAAATTATGTGGACATTGTAGACGTTGTTGGCTTTTTGCAGTATTAGTAAGGGGCGGCACATCCAGGGGAGGCGCGAGGAAGAAATAGTTCTTTCCCGAGTAATTTTTTCCGATGCCCCCTCTTCGGAGACAAAGTTCCTACAATGCCCCTTCCGAGGCAATTGCCCTAAGTACCCTCTGTTCTTCACATGTGCTGCGTCTTCGCGTCGTCATTGTGGCAGTGAGAAAGAAAATCATATTTTTGAATAGTTCAGGGGTCCCACAAGTTTTGGATGTTATAGTACAGAAAAAATTGCCTAATCAAAGAGCGAAATCTATCTCAGTCATTTTGGTACATTGCTGTTATTATAACCCTCAAATAACACCTCTACTTAGGAGTATATATTCTAATTTCTTGATAACACCATATGTAAATGTGACTGGAAGACCCCTAAACTCTCTCATTTATGAGTTTCTTGTCACTGCCACAAAGACGACGCGCAAATACGCAGCACATGTGAAGAAGAGGGGCATTTAGGGTAATTGCCTCCGGAGGGGCATTGTAGGAACTTTGTCTCCGAAGAGGGGGCATCGGAGGAAATTACTCTTCTTTTCCTGAAAACGCAGGAAGAGTACGTAGCTCTGTGCTGCACATTCAAATTTCGAGTTCGGATCCGACATTCGAACGACCCTTCGAACGACATGCCGAGCTCGGCCAGAACGGACTCTTGGAAGGAAGAGTGGACCCTATACACAGCCTTAGGTAATATAGATCAGGAATAGATTAGGTAGTAGTCCGAAAGTCCGAACCGGACCGAATACAGGAGGATTTGAGGACTCTCTCGTTCGGCTCTCTTGCCATCACTTACCTTACACCTAATACGACACCTCTACTCTACAGTCAATCCTTACTTTTACCCTCTGATCTCCTTATTCCAACTGTGGATTCTAATCCTCGCACCGACCCTAACCCTAACACTCGTTATTCGCTTTCGAGTCCTTTCGGCAACGCCGCCATTTCGGACTCTCGTCTTCGGATTGCTTGCGCCTTAGGCAGGCATTGGTCACGCTCCGGCCTGGGGTTTAGAATCGCCTATCGAACCCTTGAATCCACCTTCGGACTTCCTTTCCCTTAGAGTCAACCGTCGATTAGGCCACTACTGGACCACTAAACTGCTACTACCTAGACTCGAACTACCACAGTCAACTCCCCCTCCAGCGGACTTACTCCTGACGCCTCATTGAGAGGTAGAGAGTACAGCTCTAATCGTCCTCGTGGTGTCAGTTCTTTGGCCCGTTCCGACGCACATTCAGGTGAGAAAGAGCGCTTATAGCTTGCATCGCACCATTATTGAAATGAACCCAGACGTCGATCCATACGATGCCAGCTGGTCAATAGTTTCTCAATCCGGCCAATCTCGAGCACATATCCGTTTTCTGTTACGTAACGGAGTTATGCAGAAAACTTTCTTTTCTAATACATACAGATTGAGATTCCATCGCCGCCCTATCGCCGCCACTTGACATGCACCTCATCCGTCCTGAATCTGGGCATTTATTAGTGACAAACTGTATGGTTAATGGTCGCGAGCCTACCTCTGCGTACACGTGCACTCTGGCAGTTCCGCGCTTTCTCCCATCCGGAATGCAAGCATACCCGCTTGGGCGATCATGATACCATTATCGATGCAGAATCTGGACCAGAACGTCAATGGTTTTCACAACAGTGAATAACAGTCGACGTGCCTCTCATCAGTCGCAAACACCTTACCTCCCCGTTCCTCGGCCATGCGGCCCATCATCTGCTGCAGCCTCTCGTTGCTCCCCACACCGCCCACAACTAGCACTTCCTTGCTCCCTACATGGGCCATCGCACGTTCCGTAGTTTCGACCAGCATCGAGTAAACCGTTTCTTGGAGGGAAAAGCACAGGTCTTGTGGGGTGATCACGTCCAGTGTGGGATCATTGAGTTCCTGCTCCGTCGGGTTGGGGCGGAAACGCTTGTCTTGTGTGTACACCTCCGCATTCGTGAGGATCCCACTAAGGCTCACATCCATACCCTTCGTCGCATATGGTAGTGGTAACAGTCTCTTCCCGCGTTTCGCCTCCTGCTCGATGTTATATCCTGGTGCAGGGTCGTTCGAGAGCCCGATGACGCGTGCGAATCGGTCGAGCATGTTACCAACCGCGATATCTAGTGTTTCGCCGAAAATACGATACCGCTGGCGGGAGTACGCGATTACTTGTGTGTTCCCACCCGAGACGTAGAGTACGATTGGATTGGATGCACCCGTGATGAGACGACCCATCTCGATGTCTGTGTTTCAGGAGATCTCAGCGATGCGCGCGATTCTGCACAAGGGGAGAACGTACGTCCGACACAGTGATTCACAGGTATTAGGGGCTTGTGATATAAAAGAGATAGAGTTCGGGCCACCAGTGCTGTTGTCTGTAATGGCGCGCCCATGCCCGGTCCTGATAGTGCTCATGAGCAGGAGGGCACGAGCAATAACAGGAGCAGGCGCACCTTTCGTGTAGCATATGCAATCCAGATCTTGCATCGTTACTCCCGCTTCCTCAAGAGACTTGTTAATCACGTCAATAGCCCATTCGCGATGATGTTGTGCTGTATCCCTTGGTAGGAAACCTTCGCCTGGAGGGGTGATGTAAGTGTGCCGGACGTTCGAAAGCACCTTTGGCGGTTCGTCGGGGTAATGGGCCATGACACCCGCGCCCAGTTTATTGGCACTTCCCTCTATTCCGAGAGCTAGAAGGCGATGTTCCGGTGGCTGTAGAGGAGCATGCTTAGGCGGCATGATGGTGAGAACTGCGTGCAAAGACTGAAGAACGGCGACGAGTCAGTATAAACGAGGACCAAGTCGATGTCGGCGTTAGTGTGGGGTTTCTTATCGCCGTCAGGGCCCCTGAGCCAATTTTGTTCGACTTCAGGATGAGTCAGTTCTGCACTGAACAATACACAGGTGTGCTGCACATCCTAATTTCGAAGCCGGATTCGACGTTCGAACGACACTCCGAATGAGGTTCGAAAGGACTCCAACAAGATAGTAGAGGGAAACGGACCCTACAGTATACACAGCTTTAGGTAATCATGGATTAGAAATGGAGTTAGGATAGTTAGTCCGACGTCCCAATCATCTCCGAACATATATAGGGAGGATTCGAGTACTTCGGAACAGGGACTCTTTTGCCTCCCCATATCTTCCCTTCCCTCTTACACTACACCTTTAACTTAGAGTCATTCCTTATCCTCCTTCTCTCTCGCATTGAGCACTCCGAACCTTCGTTCCAGCCTTCGAATGACGCTCCGAGTCTGTCACATTCAGTCCCTTCGATTCGAGCCTGCCCTTTCGACTCGAATGCCAGAGAGTCCGAACGGTCCTCACTCTTATCCATCTGTGCCACGGCTCCCCCCTCCCCTTGTCCGCACTTTTGCAGCCCTCCCATTGGGTCAAACAGAGAATTGACGGCTCTGACTGACGCACAGCCACAGCACAGCCACATTATGCTGGCGTCCTTAAAGCCAAAAAATAATAATTTCTCGCATTGTGATTTATTTCAAATATGTAAATACTATGTTGATGTAAGAGTAGATTTCATTCCCAACTTGTTCGAGGTGAAATGATTTCCAATTTCAATGTTAGGGTCCTCAAGTTTGTTTTTGCGAGCAGCGGACCCTGAAGTGCGGACAAGGGGGGGGGGAGAGGTGGGGCAGTTTCTTCAGTTCAGAGTTGGGAACGAACTCCGACTTCTGCCTCGAACTAGCTATATCTTCGGAACCGACTTCGATTACTGGCAACGCTTCACTTGCGAACTAACATCTACGCCGTGACTGTCTACTCCCCCTCCAGCGGACTTACTCCTGACGCCTCATAGGGAGGTATAGACGCGTCAATATCTTTTGACCACCTTTATTCCAAGAACAGCTGGTCACATAAAACGATTGATCGTGTTGAACCCATAAGGTCCCGCAGTGTGATCCAAGCACTGGCTCAATCCACGAAAGTCGACCATGGCGCTTCCACAACCCCCCAGCGCAGCCGACGTGCAACGCGCTCTAAGCGCCTTCGACAAAATGCCACTTTTCATGAAGTCTCTTCCTTCCGAGCAAAACGATTCGGTGTCGGACGAACCGAACGTTGCGTTGGAGGCGCTCCAGAGCTTGGTGTATGAGGGCACGCCTGACGGTACGTGCGTACATCTCGTTTCCCTTACGTGCACGTAATTCTAATATGTTCTCAAAAATAGAGATAGCCCAGAACTTCAAGGATCAGGGAAATGAATACTTTCGAGGCAGGAGATGGAGGGAGGCAGCGAGCTTCTATTCTCAAGGCGTTGACGCGAAGCCCGAGGATGCGAAGTTGCGTGAAAGCCTGTTGCTGAATCGTGCAGCGTGCAATTTGGAGCTCCGTGCGTTTCTTATCACTGCATTCTATGGTTTGTACAGACTTGCTGACTTTGCATAGAGAACTATCAAAAGGTGCTCGCAGACACCAGCGCTGTCCTCTCCCTCAACACACGGGCAGGAAAGGCCTTCTTTAGAGCCGGTGTCGCGCTTACCAAGCTATCTCGGTATGACGAATCTATCGATGCGCTCGAACGGTGTGCTGCGCTTCAACCGGATGACGCGGGCGTCAAGAAGGCTCGAGCGGAAGCCCGGCGCGGCAAGGAGACCGAGGAACGCAAAGCGCGCGAGAAGCGGGAGAAGGAGGCGTTGCGTCAGGCGGTGGAAAGTGCACTACAAGCGCGCGCAATCGTCCCCGTAACGACGCAGAGCCCGCCACCTCAGGAAGCCTACCCCTCATTTGACCCCTCCTCCCTCTCCTCTCCCTCTTCTTCGTCAGAATCGTTCACCCCTCCTCTTGCGACAACATCCCTTCTCATACCGGTGCTACTTCTCTACCCGCTTCAAGCGCAAACGGACTTCCTCACAGGCTTCCCCGAGTCTGCCACTTTCGCCGAGCAAATCACTCCCGTCCTCGAGCCCACACCTCCGTGGGACACTCAAGGGGAATACACACCGGGGAGTGTGAGCTTGTACGTGGTGACGATGAGAGGAAGGGTTCTCAAGCTTGGGTTAGGGAGGAGGCTAGTGGACGTCTGGCCTGCTGCGGCTGGAAGTGCGAAAGGTGCAAAGGCTGGGGAAGCGCAGGCAGAAGGAGGGGATGGGATCTTGCTGCGAGATGGATGGGTGGAGGTGTACGTCTTACCCAGAGGGGAGCAGGAGAGGAAGTGGGTGGAGGATACAAAGGCGAAACAGAAGGAAGGAAAGGCATGAGAAAGGGAACAATGCTCCAGCGTTGTAACACTAGGGGGGAGTCAGGGTCTTAAGAGAAGTACCATAGATACGATTCTTAGTGTAGACAGTTCTTTAAGGACTGTCTTTGTAATCAGTATTTAGGCCCCGACAATAAAAATAGTCCCGGAAGACCCTTACAAAAGTATCCGTGAAGGGACACCACTCTGGCGGGACCAAATAAGTCCCTATCCGCTGAGTTTCAGCCACTCAGGGTCCTCTGTCCGTGTCAAGGCCCCTTGCACACACAGCCTCATTGTCTCCATATCTTTTGTCCTCACCATCACCATCTCTCCTCCTCCTCCTCCTCCTCTCCTCCCACAACTGTCGGCCTCAGCACCCCACCACTCCCTCAACTCTCTCCACCTGCAAGACCCTCCCAGGAGGGTCAGCAGGAAGACTATTTGAGTATTGTCCCCCCCCTCCCTCTCGTCTCGTGTTCTCTGGCACCAGGTGCCCACTGTCAACATCAAAGACCTTCAAGCCCAGGAGAAGCAAGACAATTTCTTGCATTATCTAACATGAGTATGTTTATTATCATTATTTATTTGCCCTTGCTGATGCTCTACAGATGCCTTTTGTGACTTATGAGAGGGGCCTTTGCCATATGCCCCGTCTCCCCTCTGAATATGCCCCCAAGCTGCCAAGAGGGTTTCCAGAGCCTGTGAGGATGGAGGACACTCCCCCAGGTGAGTTCTACTGAGGTTTTTTAATTAATTAAATTATAAACTAATTATCTATCTAGGGGAACATCCTCCAAACTTCATGGGCAAGTCCCACATCTCCATCTTTGACCTTGAGAAGTGCTACCTCACACATTACACTGCAGAGCCTAGCCTTCCCAAGCGAGATGTTGAGTCAAGCCCAAAGAGTTGCTTCTCAGTTGAATACTGCAACCAAAGACTCTTCGAAGGCTCCACCAAGCACTTCAACTTGATGTCTGACAAGGAATGTCATGCTTGGTGGAATGACTTCAAGGGTTGATTCCACAAGTTCTACCATGGGGAGGGTGACTGCAAGATTGCCTTCGATCTGCAGGTGTATTCAAGGTGCCTTTGGGCACACAGCAAGCTTGACTACACAGTCTATGCCCAGTCCTTTGACCCCCCCCACTCCCATTGAGTGTACTGCAAAGGACCCCCTGCCAACACTGAGAATGCCAATGCATGGTGGGCCTATCTCAACATGAGGATGTGGACCCCCTATATCCTCCCCTGTGACTGTGTGGCAGGCATACCCCTTAGTGACGAGTACTACTCAAAACCAGGGGTATGGGAGAAATCCCTTGCCAGTCAAGAGCTTGAACAGCTCTTCAACAATGCCATGCCCACCATGATCAATGCCTGGTGGGTGCAGATGCTCATTCATGCCCACCAGCACTATCTTCTCCTCTGTGTCTTTGAGCTTGGCAACCTCCATCCCTCCCATCCCCTCCAGCTCCTTTATGACTTCAAGACCCTCAAGAAGACTTGGGCAGGTGATTTTGTGCAAGAGCAAATCAACTTGTTCATGCCTATGCTGCAGGCATATGCCCACATCCTTTGGGTGCATGCACAGGCCAAGGTGAGAGATCTCCTTGGCCTGTGCAACATGCTCCTCACCTGGCATGCTTGAAAGCCCTGGTTGCCCTCGAACCTCCCCACCCTCTACAACTACACTGGTGTACATGCAGGAAACATTCCTGACACGTACATCAAGTGATACAAGCTGGATGGTGTCTTCATCCTCGAGCCCCTCCTATGGGAGGATATTCTCAAGAAAGACCCCCAAGGCAAACTCACCTTGGAAGGACTTGAATAAGTCCAAGGTCTGGCTTGAGATGGAGTGCAAATGCATCCATGACAAGCACATTGTGGCAGGGGGTGCTCCTTTCCCTTGGGAAAGGAACAAGATCCACCCCTCTGTGAAGACATGCAAGGAGCAGAGATCTGCCAACACAGCAAATCCCCAGATGTGGGCCAAGGGCAAGCAGAAGGCCACCAACACCCTCAAGCAACTCCAAGGCAATGAGCTTTTCACAGAGGCTGCCATCCTCCACAAACAATTCTATAGCAAGGTTTGAACATGCATCAAGCTGCTGAACATCACCAATCCAAAGTTCGAAGCTGGAGCACTTGGAGTTGAGAGAAGGGGGCATCTCCTCAAAGGAGAAGAGCCCCCTGATATCAACTATGAAGGCCAGCAACTCCAAGCTGCCCTGGATTCTGTGCAAACCAAGATTACAGACCACCTGCAGAAGCTTGGCATGCAGCAGCCTCAGTCCAAGCCTCAGCCTCAGCAACCTCAGCCTCAGCCCAGCCCCAAGCCCCAGCCCCAGCCCAATGTCAGGGCACCAGCTCATTGCTTGGTCAAGAGACATGACTAAGCCTTTATGACAT